CAGGTTTTATCTTACTCTAAGTCTGGGTGAAGGGGTTTAAAATGAAACAGTCAACAAACACGTGCAAAGGCAGTCTCTACCAAAGACCCTCTTATGAACCAGTATTTCAAGTTTAATTTAAGACTGGTGAACAGATTAACAAGGAATACTGTAAATACATCAGAAACAGAAATGATGACATTAAAATAACTTGTGATAACTAGTTGTCCCACTCAAAACATTCACCCTTGTGTAGTATAGTATAGCCCAGGGATTGGCAACTTTTGGCATGTGGCCCATCAGAGAAATCCACTGGCAGGCTGGGATGGTTTGTTTACCTGCAGCATCCGCAGGTTCGGCCAATTGCAGCTCCCACTGGCCGCGGTTTGCTGTTCCAGGCCAATGGGGGCTGCAGGAAGCGGTGGCCAGCACATCCCTCAGCCCACGCCGCTTCCCGCAATCCCCAACGGCCTGGAAGGGTGAACCACGGCCAGTGGGAGCTGCGATTGGCCAAACCTGCGGACGCTGCAGGTAAACAAACCGTCCCAGCCTGCCAGTGGATTTCTTTGATGGGCCACATGCCAAAGGTTGCCGATCCCTGGTATAGCCCCTGGAGGCAGCAGCCACTAGGGGGCAACATAACACATTATAGGGCACTTCTTGACTTCAATGCAAAGCATAAAATACATGAAAAAACACAACACTATAGTCCTTCCAACACATTGATTCTTTAAATTCTTAAAATTTAATTTGAATTAACAACTTTGTTTAATGTTTTTACTTTATAACAACTTTCCTTTCGCTCACATGACACATATATTATAAACGTTATCACCCGAAGATATGAACAAGGATATTTGACTATAAAATATCGAACCCATGCAGTATATTAGCTAGCTTGCATTTCTTAGTGGAACGGTAACACTGGCCAGACTTTTCAAGAATTCCATGAATTTCCTGGACTAATGGCTGTATATACAATTCCCCAATTAAAAATATTAAGATTGCAAGATTCCGTATTAATATTTTATGATTATTTTGCTATTACTGTACACAAAACTCCAAAACAAAGCCACGAGTGATATTTACATACAGTACTACAAAAATGACACAAAAGCTGAACTTTTCAATGGGACTTGAGTAGCCAAATCTCCTACTTGGCTTTGAGAAGCCCAGCTAAAACTGTAAGGTAACCCAGTACGTTCCTGAGTGAATGATCACTTTAATATAGTTCTCGCTTGCAGACAAGTCACGCTTTAAATAGTGCACTGATTCCCTTCGAATGGAGTTGTGCAAATCTACTGTGGGATGTGTCAGTTTGTTTTCCATTCCCTTTGGATACAGATGGCCCAGTCGGCCTGGTTTAACTATTTACATGCAGTCTGCTCCCTTGCTTTATTTTAGAGGATTAAAGATCAGGCTGTTGCCCACCTCTTTTCCTTGAATCTGGGTATGTTTGACATCACGACTGAGGCAACTGGAGGCAGTTCAGTTTTGATCTAAATCAAATAGCCCATTCATGATAGAAACCAGAGGAAAAAAGAAGTTCCCCAGAGTATCAGCAATCATTTGGATGGGACTGCAGGCACTTTGGGAGGCAAACCTGCCTTACTTCCCATTGGCTGCACCCACACAAATGTAAAAGCAACAGAAAAAGTGTCGTTTCGCAGAGACAAGATGCAGGCAATCCGTACACCAGGTACAGAGTCTCCAATATGCTGCAAAGTTGTGCTCTGCAAGGCTGCTACGACCATGACAATGCAGTGGGTTTGTTTGTTTGTTTTGAAGGGGGGTATTGTGCCACCACTAAATCAGTGATTTAATTTGCTGGGCAACAATGTCCCCCCATTCCACAATGCTACTGTAACATGAGGCTAAGGCTTCAGGCATGAAGGGACAGCAGATTTCTTCCCTCTCTAAACAGTCCTGTGCATAGTCCGTTTACTTTGAGTAGGTTGGAGGATGCTGAAAATACGGCTGAGCTATAATCAATCTTTAGCCGACACACAGGAACAATTTTCACAGTGTAGTAACCCACTATAATGTAGAAGTAAGCTTTGCTCCAGCGAGCACTTAACCACTGCTTACATTTACACAGGTGGGACTACCCCCTTTATGCAGAATGTTAAGCACATGTGCAGATCCTTGCAGGAATAGGGCCTAAATATGTCAGTTTGAGTCATTAATGGCAGGCTGTTTATTCTGGGTTTGAAGGGGGATTTGGCGCTCTCCAAATAGATGGAGTGATCCAAAACATAACTTTATTGATGTCAAGTAAAACAATAATAATAGAATTATAGAAATGTAGGGCTCAAGAGGTCATCTGGTCGAGAGGTTCTCAAACTGGGGGATGCACTCCTGTGGGCGGGGGCGGAATGTATTCTGGGGAGCATGAGATGCTTTAGAGGAAAAAAAAACTTACTGTGCCCGTTTAGAGCTGGGTGGCAGGAGAGTGGTGGCTGCTGAGGGTAGCGCCGTCAGCAGAAGCAGCACAGAAGTAAGGGTGGCAGTGCCATCCCATGCCACCCTTACTTCTCTGCTGCTGGCGGCAGCACTGCCTTCAGAGCTGGGAGTCCGGCCAGCAGCCGCTGCTCTCTGCTCTGCCTTTGGAGCTGGGCTGCAGGAGAGTGGCGACTGCTGGCCAAGCACCCCATAGGGAGGGCATACACTACAGACACAAAGAATGGAGGCGCAATCAAATACATTTGAGAACCACAGATCTAGTGCATCACTCCACACTGAGGCAGGATTAAGAATACATAGATCAGCCCTTATAGGTGTTTGTCTAACCAGTTCTTAAGAACCTCCAATTATGGGGGTTCCACACCTCCACTATTAATCTGTTTCAGTACTTAACTATCCTTCCTGTTCGAAAGTTATAGTTGGAAAGTTTTTCCTAATATCCAATCTAAATTTCCCTTCTGTGGAAGGACTCCACAGAATTCATGACTTCCAAAGGGCTAGCCTATCCACTTCCTATGGCATTGGGCATGGGAAAACCGACAAACACATTGCACAAGAAGTGAGCTAACGCTTGGTATCCATTCCTGAATGAAGAACTTTTTAAGAAAAGGACTCCATCCCTATAAGGTTACAAAATTATGTGGAACCTTCTGTTCCAGACTGAGAAAACTACACGAAATCTAGTGCTGTCGCTGTTTCCTCAAACCTTCTTTATGGTGGGAGAAGGTGAGGTGGTGGTGGTGGTGGGAGAAAACCTAGTACAGTAATTGTGCAAGAGAGACAAGGTGGGTGAGGTAATAACTTTCATTGGACCTACACCTGTTGGTGAAAGAGACAAACTTCCAACAGAAGTTGGTTCAATAAAAGATATTACCTCAGCCACCTTGTCTCTCTACAACCCGGCTACAACGACACTGCATATAGTAATTGTGCAATGCACTGGGTAAAAATTACACATATCCATACAAAGTAACCATCAGTTTCCATTTACAAGTAATGCAAGAAACAGCAGACAAAGAACAAGTAGTTTTCTCTTATTTACTCTTGGGGTTCTTCAACTGACCATATTGGACCAAAAATAAGTTTGTCCTGAAAACAGAAGCATAAGAAAAATTTTACCTTGTGTGTTAAGATTTACAGCCAAATCCTGCTCCAGGGTTCATGTGTACTCTCTCCAGACCTAGTAGCTGGGAATCTAAGGGCTGTCCTTCCCAGGAGATTTTATTTGTGAAAGGTAACCTCATTTCAGTAGATCTCAAAAAGGGAAAGAATACAACCTTAGCCATTGGTAAATATGCCAGTCCCTCAGGATTGCAAAGGATGATCAAAGCCATTTTCTTTAAAGAACGCAGGCCCAAATCCGCAAAGCTATTTAGACACCTACCTCCCACTGATTTCAATGGCACCTAAATAGCTTTGAGGTTCCAGGCCCTATCCCCTATCAGGAGCAGATTCGGCCACGCTTACATTGAGTACTCCATGGGCATTTCAGTGGGATTGTTGGTAGAGCACACTACCAGTGTGGCAGAATCTGGCCTTCAAAGTGAGACGCTAATTCTTTCTGTAGGATTTCAACAATAACTCATAACAAATCACAATTTAATGTTTTTTGTCCAGGGAACGCTAGGTTGGATAATCTAGACCAGGGGTCGGCAACCTTTCAGAAGTGGAGTGCCGAGTCTTCATTTATTCACTGTAATTTAAGGTTTTGCGTGCCAATAATACATTTTAACAGTTTTAGAAGGTCTCTTTCTATAAGTCTATAATATATAACTAAACTATTGTTGTATGTAAAGTAAATAAGGTTTTTAAAATGTTTAAGAAGCTTCATTTAAAATTAAATTAAAATGCAGAGCCCGCCGGACCGGTGGCAAGGACCCGGGCAGTGTGAGTGCCACTGAAAATCAGCTCACGGGCCGCCTTCGGCAGGCATGCCATAGGTTGCCTACCCCTGATCTAGACACAGAGATGCTGCTTACTAGTAACAAGGCTGCTGTATTTGCATTAAAATGAGATGTGGCTGTCTGAGAGGACTCTGTTTTGTACAGTGCTTTTGCTATAAACAGAAATCATCTCACTCTAATGAGGTTTCCAATACAGTTTTGGCATGAAGATTGAAAACCCTTTTACATTTCAGAAGCGTTTTATTTCAGTTTCCTTAGAGAGGAGCCACTGCTGGATTTAAGCAGCACATGGAGAGTCACATTTGGTTGTTGAAGTTATAAATTAGAGATGGTGTGCTGGGGAAAAAATCACTCTGACGTTAACTACAGGGCAAGACACAGGAAGAACAGAATATAATTAAAGCACTTTCCAACTTGGAGGTAGGCACAATGCTGGATCAGTGTGCAACTCTGGCAGCAGAGCTGTGGGTAGTGCTCACTGATGACATTATCATGGCAATTCTACAGGAAATGCTGCAAGCACTGTCACACTTTTTCCTATAATAAGATTCCCTGACCTTGTGGCTATTAGATCGAAATAGACATGAGAGACGATGGGGCCGACGGAAGAAAAAAACATCTCAACATATTGCTCTGCTGGGGAAAGACAAATGATGTTATTTCATTTACACAGAATCTTTATTCATGTCCATCTTATGTTATATATTTAAATAGTCCTGTGACCCACTCCTGACCTTGCTGTATGTGTATGTAAATGAGGAGCTCCTCTGGTGAAGTTAACATAGTTACACCACTGAAAACACAGAGTTTTCAAAATGTAATAGACAAACAATGCTGTCTAGTTATGGCTGGCTTCTGCTCCCATCCACTGCAATGGAAACCCCCCCACTGACATCAGTAGGGGGAGAAATGGGACCCCTTTGGGCCCTATTTCAGCCCTTCCTCAATTGGTCACAAATTGGTGCCAAAACGGATCTGTTATTCAGAAATCTGGTTCTGTGTCTCCCTCTCCTCCCCAGGCCTGCTATTGCCTCTCGTGAAATTTGTCTCGGAAGGAAACAATGTATTACAAGATCAGTTGTTTCTAAGAGGATAATGCAGGTTGTTCTCTTTGGAGTAAGATGATCAGACTGAAGAGTCCGATGAATTCTTAGGTATAAACTATCCTGTCATTACTACCTTCTTAGGGTGCTCTGAAACTCAGACACTGGGAAAAAATTGCAGATTTTCTGGTAAAAGCCCCAACTCAGGAAGGCACTTAAACACATGAGTAGTCTCACTGGCATCAATGGAACTACTCACATGCTTAAGGCTAGGCCCATGCTTACAGCCCTTGCTGGATCAGGGCCATAGCCATTAACTGATGGGCACGCAGGGCCCATGAATGTTGACTGGTGTATGTGACAGGATAGTCAAATACCTGAAGAGGCTGCCAGGTTTCTGTTGGGTGGCTTTTTCCCCCTCTTCCTTCAGGGTTTAGTTTATAGGTTTGGGAGATTACAGCCCAAATACCCACACACCAGAGAACCAGATATTGTTTACAAAAGGACACTAAGGACTGCACCAAGTGAGCCCAGTAAGGCCACAGGAAACTGTGGTCAAATGGTAGGAAGAGGAGATCAGACAGTCAGTAAGGAGGTGGGGCGGGAGGGAGGGGGGGAAGAACTAACCAGTAGGTGCTAACTAATACCTGCCTAATCGAACTGTTAATATTGACAACCCCTGGGATGTGTTTTGACTGTTAGTTAGTTGGTTATTGCTGCTCCAGCCTTTTTTCCCTCCCAAGCTGATTGACTGGAGCTCTAGTGTTATATAAGCCAACCCACTCATCCAGGCTCTTTGCCATAGGGGGTCATGCATGGGATGTCACTTAGGTTCTAAATGGGAAAAAGACCACTTTGGGTTAGATAAGGGAAAAGTATAAATCAAAGCATTGGCGATTACAGTCAAAAACTAAACAGCCCAGTGAAAGGACCTTTGTACAACTTCTTACTACTCTTTGGGCCGTGGTGGGGACATCTACCCATCAAGATGTCAGAAGAGATGCTTGCTGGGGGTGCTGGAGGAGCTAGAGCACGGATCCTGTCTATCCACCCTTAGGTACAGACCAGAAGTTAAGGAGTGGGATGAAGTATAAGCCCTGAGTCCTTTAGGGGCAGCTGCTAAACCAGAGACAAGATTGTTCGGTGGCCCACCTGACCAAGTGAGGGCAATACTAAAGTGGCTCGCTGTTCAGTGGGCTGGGACAGAAGGGAGGCAGCAGACAGATGACACTCCACAGGCTGACGAGTTCCAGAGATTTCAGGAAGATCAACAGAACAGGGAGGGCCCAGCCACATGAAGAAAGGGCTGCAATGTCTAGGCTCTTAAAGAGATGGACTCCTATCAGATTCCAGTGTGGAAAGGCCCTGAGATGACACACCTGATGCCAGGAAACAATACAGAACCTTATATTACCACATTGAAAAGAATGGGCCCTATCATATGGGTGGCCATAAGGGCAGGGGGTTCTGAGACTTGTCCCATTTTTCAGAAAGATGTGACTGGGGAGAGACTGCTATAAATGTGGTGAAACAGGACGTGCATATAGGTTTTGCCCTAAGATGCAACCATAGTCCAGGTGTAGTACTAGAAACCTGTTCTCCGGGGGTGGGAAATTTCACAATAAGGGGCTTGTCTACACAGGACCTTTTACCAATTATATTGGTATAATTATACCAGTATAGTTAAACCGCCATAGTTATACCAGTACAATTCCCCCTAGGGAGACTCTTATTCCAGAATGAGAGGCTTTTTAAAAAAAACTTTGGTTTAGCTTCATCCCTTTCTAACGTGACATTAAACCCCAAAATCCCACTGTTATTCCACCCAGGGAGTTATACTGGCATAACTATAGTGATTTAAATCCACACCTTAGCTTATATTGGTATAACTTTCCTGTGTAGACAAGTCCTAAGACTGGGGTACTTGAGAGTGAACCTTGAAAGACTCTAGAATCATAAACCCACAAAGCCAATACCTGATACTATGATTAACTGGGTCCATGGGGATACAAAGGAATATCAAGGAATGGCTGTTAAGTTAAAATTGATGGGCAAAACATTCCCGTGAAGGTGGGGCCAGTGAAGAGATTGCCCTACCAAGCAGTTTGGGGAAGGATCTCCCCAGTTTCTTTTGTACTCTGGAGTAGGTCATAAGAGAACCCACCCATTGTGAACGTCACTACTTGTAGCCAGGTTCAGGAACAGAAAGACCCCAGGCAAGGAGAAGGAGCAGGAGAAAAGAAGACTCCTACTGACATCAATGAGAGCAAGATTGGGCCCAAAATGCAAAACAAACAAAGAAACAACCTCCCCCTCAAATCTTATTTTCAGTCCTGTCTCCCTGTACTTCCCACACATGCTTTAGCCTGACACCAACTCTTGATGTGTTAAGAAAGACTTTCGCAAGTTTTTCAGGATTTTACCCACAGAAGAAACAATATAACGTGTGATCAAGCCACCTTAGAAAATCTTACAGTACTTCATGTTAAAATACATATTTTCAGCCAGAAACAAAAACACATCATGCAGCTTTGATTATTATTTCTGAAGTCCCTGTCAAATATGCTGGACTACTTCAGTTTCCTGGCTATACCAAAACTAAACAAACTTCCCTAGAAAGGAAAGAACTATGTAAATCTGAAAAACCTACTTGGTAGCTTCCAAAGCTTGATAGTTCTGCCATCCCACAGAGTCAAAGGGTCATTGTTTGAAGCCTACCCTTGCTCAATCTATTAGAACAATGATAACAGAGAGTTTTCAGAGCATGGCAGTCAGGAAACCTCGCAAGGTTTTGAATACACACAAACTGAACCAGCTAGTGATGAGGATTGTAGGGACAGTGCCCCTATACTCATGTAGTATAAAGAATACAGATGGGAATGAACAATCCTGACAAAAAGATCAGGTCCATTTCTTAGTAAGGCTTTGGGTTTTTTAAGTGTCATTCTTAAATGAACCAGTAAAAAGAGAGAGAATTACATCCTTTAAACGGCTGTGTTCCTCTACACCAGTATAAAACACAAATACGGCTTAAGAGCTATAATTGCTTAGGATATCCTTTTAAGGTGCGTATTAAAAACATTCATACCCAAATGATAAATATTTTAAAAGAAGCATTTACAAAAATAAATGATCCATTTCCACAAGTTCATATAGAGTTGACCATTTGAAAGCACCTTGAAGCAGCATATTTACTGCTAAAGCCGTTAACTAAATCTTTGGTATAATATATAGTGTGTGTATATTTGTTTTTCCATTGGCAGGTATACTGTACAGAAGACTGAAGAAGCAGCTTTTCCTTAATTTTTCCTTGATGTATCTTCCATGTATACCATACAAATATTTCTAACATGTCTTCCTATGATAATAGGAGAAAATCCCAATATTTTCTTGGCTCCTCCTATAACTTTTGGATCTAAAACAAAAACAAAAAGGTAGGAGTGAAAAAAGAAAGTGAACTAATCAATTGATAAGTACAGTTTTAATAAACAGTGTTTTGCAAAGTTTCTTTACAAAAATGCTTCCGGGAGAAAGTTGTTCCTTTGAATACTTTGTAAATTAACTGAACTGAAAAGCCTACCTAAGGGACCTTTGATTTGCAAAAGCAATTTAACAGGGAGTAGTTCAGAATCTCAAGTAAAAAAAAAATCTATGGATCACTTTTGACACACGTTCAATATTTATCCAAATGATTTCTTTGGCTTAAGTTGTCCATGAGCTGGTGTTTGTCAACAGCACTAGAGCTCTGGGGAAGGAATAAACACTATGTTCAACTGAAGCTAGAACGGGAGGGATTCAAGGAAGCAGAATCATAGAAATCTAGGGCTGGAAGGGACCTTGAAAGGTGTTCAGATCCACTCCCCTGCACTGAGGCAGGACCAAGTAAACCTATTCCATCCCTGACAGGTGTTTGTCCAAAAAACAAACTGTTCTTAAAAACCTCCAATGATGGGGATTTTACAACCTCCCTCGGAAGACTGTTCCAGAGCTGAACTACCCTTTTAGTTAGCAAATTTTTCCTAATATCTGACCTCAATCTCCTTTATCCTGCTGATTAAGACCATTACTTTTTGTCCTACCTTCAGTGGACATGGAGAACAATTGGTCACAGTCCTCTTTATAACAGCTCTTAACATACTGGAAGACTGTTATCAAGTCCCCACCTCAGTCTTCTTTTCTCAAGACTAAACATGCCCAGTTTTTTTAACCTTTCCTCATAGGTCGGGTTTGCTAAACCTTTTCTCATTTTTGTTGCTCTCCTTTGGACTCTCTCCAATATGTCCACATGTTTCCTAGCGTGGGACCCAGAATTAAACACAATACTTCAGCTGAGGCCTCCCCAATGCTGAGCAGAGTGGGACAATTACCTTCTGTTGCTTACATCCGGCACTCCTCTTAATATGTCCCAGAATGATAGCAGGCTTCTTTGCAACTGAATCACATTGATGACTCATATTCAAATTGTTATATGTGCACTCTGGTGCTGTGGCAGGCAACCAGCATTTGCCCACTGTAATGAGCAGTGTTAAGCAAAAAAACAAAGAATTTCCTCCAAAAGAAAAAGATGAACATCCTCATGGTAAATACACAAAGCTCAAGTTATGACTCAATTTGCCAAGATCATTATGGCCCAAGCAGTATCTTCCTCAGAAGAAGCAAATAAAGTTGAAACAACGAGGAGTCCTTGTGGCACCCTAGAGACTAACAAATTTATTTGGGCATAAGCTTCTGTGGGCTAAAACCCACTTCTTTTCATATGCTGCGTATTTATACTTCCCAACTGTATGTTCCACTCCACGCATCTGATGAAGTGTGTTTTAGCCCACGAAAGCTTATGCCCAAATAAATTTGTTAGTCTCTAAAGTGCCACGAAGATTTCTTGTTGTTTTTGCTGATACAGACTAACACGGCTACCACTCTGAATAAAGTTGAAATACTCTAAGGGTGGGATTCACACACCCTGTCATGGACCCTTAGCCCCACTCAGGTGGCAGAAAGAGGCCATAATCCAGTCTCAGATCCATCACATCAATTCTCCACTGGCATAGGGTCCATTAAGGCAACAGCTCTAAGTGGTGTTGGGGTGGGCCCTCAGAATCAGGGCATTGTTACCAGCCTCTTAATTTCACCTCCTGCCAGCACCCACACACATATATCCCTGCATGGAGCAGAGCTCCAGTGTCAGGAGAATCTGCCAGTATTTATTTTCTGATAGTTAGGTGCTTAGATACCAGGTGGTGGGTGTTGTATTAGGTCACAAATTGACAAATATTTATATACACCTTATTTACAATTGATTTTTCCACATACTTTAAAGAGAACCTTGTCAAATATTAATGTGCCCCAATACCTATTTCTTTAGATATCATATTGTTGGGAGTCTTTTATACTGCAGGGAAAAAATATTAAATCAGCTATCAAATGGGGGCCCAGTTCTCCAACCCTTCCCATGCTGTGTAGTACTCATTCACACTACTTGAAGCCAATGGATTACTCACATTAGCATTAGTCATCTTGAGTCAGGACTGAAGAATAGGGCCCTGGGCAATGCACAAGTCCTTAATTCTCATAACAAGCAGTCCTACTAATTTACTGGAGGGGACTTGTACAGAGTGGAGGGGGTGGGCGGCCGGTGTTTATTCATGAGCCATTAAAAGGTGCATGCCATTAGGGAGGAAATCTGGGAAAACTACTCTGCATGCAAATGGTACAGATCACAACACTAAAAATGATTGTTTCTGTATAAGTGAGGTATTTGTACTGATCATATGCTGAAGGTTCAGACAGAAATAAAAAAGAATTCCCTCCTTGTGATTAAGTAACTGAGAGTGCAGGCACTGATTAGACTTCAATTAACTACTTAAATAAGTTTTCTAATTTGGAAGCATGAATCCTCTCTGTCTGCTGTAGCAATGGGAGTTCACAATACTATGGTTCAGATCTTTAAAAAGTAACTCTTCTCATTTGTGAGCTTTTTATTAATTATCTCCTGGCACTTCTGGGGCACAGGTTGCATCCTAACCTCATTAACAAATGATGACATCTTCCATTAGCTCTAGTGTAGAAGCAGCTTTTATTCAAGATATTATTTCAAAAAAGAACTAGATACATTCATGGAGGATAGGTCCATCAATGGCTATTAGCCAGGGTGGGTAGGGATGGTGTCCCTAGCCTCTGTTTGCCAGAAGCTGGGAATGGGTGACAGGGGATGGAGCACTGGATGATTACCTGTGTTGTTCATTCCCTCTGGGGCCCCTGGCATTGGCCACTGTCGGAAGACGGAACACTGGGCTAGAAGGACCTTTGGTCTGACCCAGTATGGCCGTTCTTATGTTCTTAAGATATACAGGGAACCCCTCAAATGTGTTTTACCTTAAGGTGACTGAGAATAAAAATTTCCCTTTAAAACAATTCCGGAGTAGATTACCTGGGTTCCAGCAGTACATGAACAATGCTAATCCTGCAGCAACACTAAAGCAAGCAAGGAAGAACATGGGACCTAAGGACGAAAAAGGAAAAGTGAATTTAGTAAAAGAGCAGAGAAAAGTGAAAGTTTAGTTTATCTGATGATTCACTAACCTCAGTTATTATGAATAGGCATGGCTAAGATTGTTCACATGACATTTGCATAATCATAATTAGGTATATTCTGTGCTTACTGTACTATAAAATATAATCACTTTATTGTAAGTATTTTGTATTATAATTACTCTGACATTGTTAGCCTCTCTTGTTCTAATAAGAACTCAGAATGGGAGGCCTAATTACACTGCACATGAAGGTCTTAGATTTACATAAAAATGTCTAGTTTGTGTAAAAAAAAACACCTCCTTTTTTTGTTTTTAAACAAAAATGGCAAACTAAGGGCAAGATTTTGATACCCTCACTCACACTGAGGAGCCCCTAACTCCCCGAGTCGTCGCACGGATGTCAGTGAACTGCTCGTAGAGTAAGGTACTATTCACTGAGAGTGACGGTATTGAAATGTGGCCCCAAATAAGTAGTTTTTCATAATGTTTCCTTTTTATACTTTGTATCCTTCATCCTTCCCTTCTCCCGGCTCTCCACCAGGAAGAATTACTGCTCTTTATGGGTCCAGTCCTTCAGTCCATGCTCAAAACTCCTGACTTCAGTTACCTTGACTTTCTTGAGAATTTTCTCTGAGCGAGGACTGCAGGATCAGACCTCATGAAATAAACTACGGCCAGAAAGAAAAAGAAAAGAAAAAAGGCCAGTCATCACCCATTCTGTGTGTAATTAGCAACCAAGATTTTCACATTTCTGAGTGGATATACATCTCATTTATTTAAATGACAGCTATCAATATAGAGATGTATATTCTTACTTATATAAAATGATCCGGGAAGAGTATTGTGTGTGATTGCATTTAGATGTGCACTGCAAAGTAATGAATACGGTATTTAAAATGTTTTCTGTTGCTGTTCATGGTTCTGAATGCAACTGAGATGCAAAGATATTTGTATATTTAATTCTAATCCCTGACTGGAAATCATTTTAACATTTCCAACTGAAATGAAATATGGTACTTATATTGAAGTACGATAGAACCTTGCTAATCCACACTTCACTCAGCCAGACAAAAATTGGCCAATGTTTAATAGCTGAGTTCTGTAGGGAGGCCTCAGATTACCACAACTTCTTCCGTATATTTACTGGGAAATGCTATCATGAATACACCTAAACTGCATCTAGCCTTTTAGGGGCAAATACCAGTTCTAGCCTAACAAATGGACTACGTGCTGGGGTTGCCCACAGACACAGGAAGAGCAGGAAGTAGACATTTTCCAGCAGTGCAGTCATTCTGCAGTTGCTACTTCAGGCTCATCATTGCAATCGTTTGGTATGGCTGCCTAGGGAAAATGGCTAGTGGATACGAGTAGTCTCCAATCCACAGCCCCTTATTCAGCATGATGGAGCACAAAGGTTCGCTGACCTTCGCACAGCTTCCTAAAAAGCTCCCCCACCCCCCTCCTTGTGCTGGCTATGTTGCTGTCAGAACCCCAACATAGCACTGAGTGGGGCAAGGGAAGAGACACAATTTTCCCTTAATGGACAAAGTATATTGTTCACCATTGTTATTGGGGTTTTTCGTTATTGCTGTTGGTTTTCTCTTATTTGTTTGGTTGCTTTTTGTCTACTCACTAATCTGCAAAAGTGATTTAGCAAGGTTCTTCTGTAAAAGCAGAAGTCGTTGTAAAACCCTTTATTGCTAAAGCATTAGAACGGCATGGGAAATTAAACTCTAGTTAAAAATATGCCAAATTTAAAAATAATGCCAATGTAAATGTTGCCTAAAGCTCTATAATCTCTTGACTTCTATGAGACCAGATTTCTCAGTTGCAGGCTGAATAGGTTTTCCTTTAATACAAGTTAAGTGCATTTAAATAGCTACAATAAAGGCATAAGAGAACAAATGATTTGTTCCATAAATGTAAATTAAGTTGTAAAATAAACTGCATCTTCATCTGAAAGTATCATTCTGTTCAATGGTACTGTATGCATTTTATTTACCCCTGTCAGTTAGAATATATTTCTCCTTGTCTGTGTCTATCCCTGTGGAAGCTGAGGTTTCTAGAAATAAAAGCAACACACCAAGAGTTAGTATTGAGCTCAAGCCAACACACTTCTGTATCAATTCATGCAAAACAGAGGGAAAGTCTGTATTACCACTTTTCAGAGAGAGAGAGCCAATCTTTATGTGAAATATTTCACCCCTCCTAAGGACATGTCACAGCTGCAGTTAAATCAGGGCCTGTGTTTATTAAAGAAATAGGGAATTCATCATTTCAACACAGGTGGAAGGCATTGAGGTTTTATAGTCCTGGTCCAGCAAAGCACTTAATCACATGCATAACTTTAAGCATGCCAGTAGTCCCACTGGGACCTGATGGGCAACCGGTGAAAGTACTCACATGTGTAAAATCACGCCTATGACTAAGAGCCTTGCTAGACTGAGGCCTCAAACAGTCAGATTGTTCTATACATTTCTCCTGTCAGATATGTGAATGCCCAGAGAGTTGGAGGAAGGTTGGTAATACATTACATCAGAGAGAGGCTTTCATCCTGGGACAAAGTTTAAATCACCAGTCACTATGAAAACGGATAGCTACAAAAATATCAGGATTTCAACAAGGGTTTATTCCCACAGCCATCGATGTTCTCCTCGTTGTCCTACAACCAAGTCATGGTACTGTGTTTGTGCCATGAAAACAACCTACATGGCGATGGATTCGGAGAGCCAACATCAGAAACCGAATTCTGCTTTCAGATACATACATATGCAACTCCCATTGATGTCAATGGGTTCTGCATGCTCAGACCTGGCACATGGGATGTGGTCCTGAGATTGGTACTTTTCTGTAAAATCGAACAGAAGGGGAATCCAGCCTGTCAACAAAGTTTTCCACTGTTAGCAATGGCAGCTGGAGAAGTAATTTATTTAATTTGACCGAGCTTATCAGTTTGCTATAGTGTGAAAGCAACCTCTGTCCCCATTCAGGGAACTAAACATGCATGTCTCAGAGTGTGTATATCTAGCATTGCTCGGCGCGTGTTATCACGGTTTATTACACTGCCTGTCCACTGGTTTAGATAGATGGTTGACCACATACCACTTTCTAGAAGACAATGCAGTTGGGCTCAGCACTAGCTCAAGAACGGGGACAGGATGGAACAGGGGACACAGTGATAGTAACCAGGCAGCCAATCCCCTGGGTAGGTTTTGACCAGGATCCTGGGACTGTCCCCCAGTACTGGGACATTTGGTTACCCTAAATGATGGCAAATGAGTGGGCCTATGTTATTACCAAAGCCCAGACAGGGCAGAGTCTGCAACTCTTACCCTGGGCCAGGCTGCTGGAACAATTTTTATAGTGGAGGTGCTGATGATGGAAACCATGCATTTGGGTTATTATTACTTCAAGCCAGGGGGTGCAGCAGCACCAACACGCCTAGTTCCAGCACCACTGCCCTGGGCAGGAGGGGATCATCCTTCAAGAGACACCTACGCCTCTGAGAATGTGGAGCTCAACCTGGCATAGGTCTGGCAGGCCCCTTACTGTGGAAACACCAGGACCGAATAATATTGCTCCTAGAGTTTAATTCATATTACAAAATTGTTCCACTGAAACACTGTCTGATTCGTGGAAGGAGGTTTTCAGTCAGAGGAATTTAGTTGTGGGAGGCTGGTTAATTTTTCAAATAAAAACAATCTACAGTTTGTGCGAATTCCAAATTTGCATTGCATTGCATTGAGGCAATTTGAGACCTTTTATTTTAGTGATTTTTCTGGTACCTTTGTGTCCAATCAGCCCATCCAGCTCCCTGGGCAGTTGGAACAAAAGCATGGCAGACTTCCCCCCGAGGGTGGTGCAGAATAGGGCAAATAGCACCTCCTCGGTATCATTTCCGCTTCCACCGCAGAAACGCCTCTGGGCTCTGGATCCACAAGTGGGTCGCGGAGGTGCACGAGCCCTCGCTACACACCACACCAATCCAACGTAGTAAACCTGCCCGGGTTAGTTCTGCCTTAGCCAGCATTAGCTTGGAAGCTGTCTTCTCCTGTGCTCTGACATCCCTCTGAGTGGCGTTACAGAAGCACTCACTGAAGTGGAAGCCTTGGGCTGCACAGATATCACTGAACCTTTCTGCCAAGCGGTTGGCGAGGGTCAAGAGAAAAAAGCCCTTCTCCAAAGCCTCTATGGAGTCCTCGAAACCTATGATGATTGATCGGCTGGTTTTGAGGGATGGCCTGCTTGCCTGCTGCATGAGAACCACCCACAAGGACAATGCCAGGAGCACCCTAGGAAAGAGACCCTGCAGCGTTCCCAGCCCCTTTTCAGGGTAGTCCTGTGTGGGGGATGATCTAGACCTTTATCATTCTGTTCTCTATCAGTATAAAGAGAAATGAAAAATGAACTTCAATCAGTATCAGAGAATGAGAATTGATTCATAGCTTCAGAATACATCAGAAACAGTCAGTATCATGTATCTCACTCCTCCCCCATGTCCGATGGGACTCTTGCAACACGACTAGAGATTTATCTTCAAGCTCTATATTTAATGAGAAGGGAAGAATTTTTGTTGTCTTTTAAAATTGTGAAATAACTTTGAAATTTACAGTAGTTTTTCTTTAAAAAGGCAATTTGGAGAAAATATTTCCCCAGACCCCAAATCGTGTTTGTATTATATGTTATCGAGTCGTAGGGCTGGAAGGGACCTTGAGAGGTCAGCTAGTCCAGACCCCTGCACTGAGGCAGGACCAAGGGAACCTAGACCATCCCTGACAGGTATTTGTCTAACCCAGGGGTCGGCAACCTTTCAGAAGTGGTGTGCCGAGTCTTCATTTATTCACTGTAATTTAAGGTTTCGCGTGCCGGTAATACATTTTAACGTTTTTTAGAAGGTCTCTCTCTATAAGTCTGTATATAATATAACTAAACTACTGTTGTATGTAAAGTAAACAAGGTTTTCAAAATGTTTAACAAGCTTCATTTAAAATTAAATTAAAATGCTGATCTTAAGCCCCCGGCCTGCTCAGCCCGCTGCCAGCCTGGGGTTCCGTTCACCTAGGCCGGCAGCGGGCTGAGTGGGGCCTGTGGCCGGAACCCTGGTTGGCAAGGGGCTGGCAGCCAGAACCCCAGGCCAGCAGCCAGAACCCCAGACCGGCAGCGGGCTGAGCGGGGCTGGGGGCTGGGACCCCAGACTGGCGGCGGGCTGAGCGGGGCTGGCACCCCAGACCAGCAGCGGACCGAGCGGCTCAGCCCGCTGCCTTTCTGGGGTTCCGTCCGCTGGCTCCTGCCGGACAGGGTCCCGTCTGCTGGCCCCGCTCAGCCCGCTGCCAGTCTGGAGTACTGGCTGCTGGCTCCTTGCCAGCTGGGGTCCCAGCCACTGGCCCCACTCAGCCTGCTGCCAACCCGGTGCTCAGGGTGGGTGTGGGGATGTGGGGGATGCAAGAGTCAGGACATGGGGTGTGGGGGGGCTGGGTATGTGTGGAGGGTGCAGGAGTCAGGGCAGAGGGCTGGGGCATGTGAGGGGGTGCAGGAGTAAAGGCCTGGGGTGTGAGGGGGCTGGGATGTGTGGAGGGTGCAGGAATCAGGGATGGGGTCATGGGGAGGATGCAGGGGGCTGGGGTGCAAGGCGGGTGCAGGGGTCAGGGCAGAGGGCGCTGGGATCAGGGGGATGCTCCCAGCCCCCTGCCCCCTGAGCAGCTTATGGCAGGGGGCTGGAGGCAGGGGGAAGGGAAGTTTTCTTAATCTTTTATCATTTTTTGTTGCTCTCCTTTGGACATTCTCCAATTTGTCCACATCTTTTCAAAAGTGCGGTGCCCAGAACTGGACAACCAGACACAGTACTCCAGCTGAGGCATCCCCAGTGCTGAGTAGAGCAGGACAATTACCTCCCAAGTCTTACATAGGACATATCTGTTAATACACCCCAGAATAACATTAGGCTTTTTTGCAACTGCATCACATTGTTGACTCATATTCAGATTGTGGTTCACTATACCCTCAGATTATTTTCGACAGTGCTACCACCTCACCAGTTATTTCCCATTTTGTAGCTGTGAATTTGATTTTTCCTTTCCAAGGGTGTACTTTGCACTTGCCTTTATTGAATTTTATCTTGTTAATTTCAGACCATTTGTCCAATTTGTCATGGTCGTTTTGAATTCTAATCCTGTCCTCCAAAGTACTTGCAATCCCTCCCAGTTTGGTGCCATCTGCATATTTCATAAGCACACTCTCCACTCCATTATCCAAGTCACAAGCAAACCTTTATCCAAGTGACAGCAAACCACTGATAACTACCCTTTGAGTATGGACTTTCAGCCAGTTGTGCACCCACTTTAGAGTAATTTCATCTATGACCACACGTCCCTAGTTTGCTTATGAGAATGTCATGTGGAACTGTATCAAAAGCCTTACTAAAAACATCAAGATATATCACATCTACTCCCCCCCCCCCCCCCGCATCTGCTAGGTGAGTAACCCTATTAAAGAAGGCAATTAGGCTGGTTTGGCATGATTTGTTTTTGACAAATCCCACTGCAAACTCTTTTTTAGGTGTTCATAACTTTGCTCTAAATAAAGATTAGGCTGAAACCAAATAAAGATCTCAGTTTGAAGCTGTCATTTCTTTCTTCATATTTACAATGTCAGGGCCCAAATCTGCAAATCCTTAGCACATGCTTAACTTTACGCAACAACAGGACAATTTCTCATGCAAGTAAAGTTATGCATGTGCTTAATGGCTTGGAGGATTCAAGTTTACCTCAGTGAGAAGTAAAAATAATAGGTTTCCTTTCTTCTGCTTTAGTTTAGAAAGGGGCTGTGTTTTTAGGAAGGTTACTTTTCATGGGCTGTTAGTTCATACATTAGTAATAATAAGACACACCAGCTGTGTAGCACTTTCACAAACATTAGCAAATTAATCCAGACTGAGGATCAACCAGTTTAGCTATCTAACCTCTAATATACAAATACTTATACTGCTCTCAGAATACATCATTTATTTCCTTATTATGTGAGACTAAGGAAGCTGCAGTCTATGACAATATAGTTCTAGTATGTGTTTTAGCACAGAGATCTTAATGATACTACTCATGTCTATGACATAGGAGAGTTTGCTAAGGAATAGAGAACGTAATGCTGCTTTGTGGTTGTACCACACAAGTGAGGCAAAAGCAGTCGTGGGACTGCTTTGAATATTATTCAATGTGCAAAATGCTGTCTCATTTACCCCACAGACGTAGTAACAGCTTGATGCTTTACTTAGGGTGACCAGATCACCCAAGACAAATATCGGGACGCGGGGGGGAGGGGGGTGACGC